AATTCTCGATATTATAATCACTGAGCTCCACAAGCCAGGGAGGCAAACATTCCCATGCCACCCCATTCGGCAGACAAGGAAGCTGATGCCCAGACAGGTCAGTAAGCTTCCCCAGGCTGCAGGGGCAGAGCTCAGGAGCAGTAGAGGCAGGATTTGGACCCTGGCGGGACCCTCAGCCTCTAGATCTCCATCTTTTTCCCAGCCGGAGACCTGGCTCTCTGACCTCGGAGACCCGGCCTGTATCTCTCTGGGGAGCACTCCTGAGCCCGGCAGCCTGAGGGAGACACAGCACAGCTTCCAGGTGACATGCTGTCACCTCTGCACTGCCCATTAATCCAGTTCATCTCCTTTGCAGGCTAGGACAGGGTGGGAGGGGTCTCTCAGCCTTCCTTGCCACTCTGACCGTTTTCTCTAAACTTCATCCTGCAGGTCTGTTGCAGGGATGTCCCTGTGACCTCGGCAAGCCTGGGGTCCCTATCCTGGGGGTCCACAGGCTGACTGCCTAAAGATGAAAGGAAACTGTTGGTGTGAACTTACCTGCGTGGCAGGGTGGGTGTGCATGTCATGGGCAGTGCACGTGGGCATGTGTGTGTGTGTGTGCTCAGCATTTGTACACGCGTGCACACGTGGATGTGCTTAGTGTGTGCATGCACCATGTGTCTGTGCTCAGTGTGTGCACGCGTGTGTTGTGTGCGTGCGTGTGTAGGGTCGCTGTGAGAGCCTGAGCTCAGACAAGGGCCTCTCTGATTTGCTGTTCCATCCAGAGAATCTGCCCGGTGAGTCCTGCAGTGTGGTTCTGCCTTCTGGTTCGGGATCACTCCGTTCTTCAGTGGCTGTTCTGAGCCCGTTTATACCCTTCTGTCCAGAGAAAAGCAGCAGCCGGGAACCCTGGAGCCAGTTCCTAATTCCTGGCCCTGAGGCGCCGTGTACATTTCCCCCTCGGGGAGTCCCCAGGGAAGCAGTGGGGTGGGGGCTGTAGGACTAAATAGTGTCACTGGGGTGGAGCCACAGCTTGGGACACCCACCTCTCATTTCAGAGTCCCGCCACTGCTTCCAAGCCAGCTTCCTCCTAATGTGCGCCCTGGGAGGCAGTGGTGATGGCTCAAGTACCTGGGACCCTGCCACCCACTTGGGAGACCTGGACTGCATTCTGGGCTCCTGGTTCAGCCCCAGTTGTGGGCATTAAGGAAGTGAATCAGTGGATGGAAGATCTATGTCTCTCTCTCTCTGTCTGTCTTCAAATAAAATGAAACTAAGAAAACAAAAATTTATGAAAACGATCATTGTACCTATTAAGAAGAGCTGCTGTACCCCTCCCGTGCCCACCGAGCTACCTGTACAATAAGCTCCTGCCCATAGGTCACACGTGAGATGAGTCCACGAAGCCGCCACACAACACCATGAACCCTTTCCGCCCAGGGCTGCAGACCTGGGGTGGTGGAGCTGGAGTTCTCCCAGAAGGCACGCACTGGCACATTTGTCCACAGGAGGAGCAGAAAGTCCTCTTTGTCTAAAGCGCCCTCTGCTGACCATTTGGAAAAGGCCCAGGGCAAGGCTGGCTACTTAATGGTGGAGTGAAGAGCTTCGGGCATCAACCCCAGGCAGAGCCCACAGTGCTACTTATCCTGCCCTCAAAATGTCCAGCCTGGAGTGGTTCTCGTTCTCTCTCTCTCTCTTTGCCAGTCTCAGAACAATTTTCAAAGATAGCTTCCCCACTGGGGCAGACACGCTAAGACCAAGATGACAGCTGACAGCAAACAGGCTGCTCTCAGTAGTTAGAAGTGAAAGCAGGGGCCAGAGCTGTGGCATAGCTGGTAAAGCCACTGCCTGCAGTGCCGGCATCCCATATGGACGCCGGTTCAAGTCCCAGCTGCTCCACTTCAATCCAGCTCTCTGCTGTGGCCTGGGAAAGCAGTAGAAGATGGCCCACGTCCTTGGGTTCCTTGTGGGAGACCCGGAAGAAGCTCCTGACTTCGAATCAGCCTAACTCCAGCCATTGCGATCATCTGGGGAGTGAACCAGCAGTTGGAAGACTTCTCTCGCTGTCTCTGCCTCTCTGTAACACTGCCTTCAAATAATAAATAAACCTTTTAAAAAAAAAGTGAAAGTAAAAGCAGGCAGGGGAGAAGCTGGACAGCATGCAAGACTTCCTGCTGGCAAAGCTTGGGAGGTGGTGGTGGAGTTGTGTGTGTGTGTGTGTGTTAAGATTTATTTATTTGAAAGGCTGAGTAAGAGAGAGAGATCTTCCATCTGGCTGGAAAACGGAAGCTGGGGCAGGCAGAAGCCAGGCTTCAGGAGCTCCATCCAGGTCTCCCACGGGGATGCAGGGGTCCCGGGACCTGGATCACCCTCCACTGCCTTCCCAGGTGCATCAGCAGGGGAGCTGGATTGGAGGTGCAGCAGCCAGGACTCAAACTGGTGCCCAAATGGGACGCTGGGGCTGCAGGCCGGGGCCTGACCCCGCTGTGCCACCGCGCTGGCCCCAGGGTCACTTAGGTTATGATGGGGGAGGGTTTCCCACGTGGGATCTGTCAGACCAGTAAGAAAATCAACCATGTTGTCTACAAGCCCGGTGCACAGGGCACGGCAGTCTCTCCTCTCTGCCAATGCCTGAGACAGATCACCCCACTCCGAATGCACTGACCAGACTCGTCATTTCCCTGTGGGAGGAACAAAAAAAGGCTGCAGCAGAAGCAGGAGAGCCTGAAGTGAGACTGCTGGGAGGACTGTCCGGGGAGTGGGACGTGGTGCCCTCCTGCCCTCTTCTTCCAGGGTGCAGCAAGCTTGCCGGTCGCTGCAGTCACCTCTGGATTTTCTGGGCCTTTCTAGGGGGCTGGTGCATTCTGGCTGGGGAGAGGGGAGAAGCGTGGACAAATGGTCACAGAGCAAAATCGTGGGGAACTCTGTCCCTGCACTGTACAGACTGCTGCTGTCCACACGATGACTAGCAGCTAGCTCTGAGGCATGGAGCCCCAGTAGCCACCACGGAGGGCCAGGTGGGCAGATGGCAACACACAGTGGCTAAGTCTTCACACAGCACCAGGCACACAAGGCTGGTGCAGGCGGCCGCACTCGGGCCTCCAGCCAAGCTCCCTGGCCCCTTCTGCGGGACCAGGGTGGAGGCAGAGCTCATACCCCAGCTCTACAGAAGCGTCTAGAGAGTGCTGGTAGAAAGGGAGAGGAGGCAGGCCGGCCAGCACGTCCAGGCTCCAGACCCTGCCCCGTCCTTGGCTTTGGAAAGCTGCAGCACTTCAGGGGAGATTTCTGGGGTGATTGACTCCAGGTCTGTTTTCTCAACTTTCTGCCCCTCCCCGCTCCTGCCATTCCTTCCTGGGTCCTGCCCCTGGGGACAAGGCCTAGAGGATGTGGCCCTGGCACTTGAGGGAGGGAGCTGCAGAGATGTTGGGAACCATGGGCACTGAACCTGAGCAGGTGGGAGGGGGCGCTCCTGCCAGGGAAAGCAAGGGTGGGGCCCAGGATGGGACATAGGGGGACAGGTGTGTGCACTGGCTGGTGGATGGGACCTGGGGAGACAGGTGTGTGCACTGGCTGGGGGATGGGACCTGGGGAGACAGGTGTGTGCACTGGCTGGGGGATGGGACCTGGGGAGACAGGTGTGTGCCCTGGCTGGGGGATGGGACCTGGGGAGACAGGTGTGTGGACCTGCTGGGGGATGGGATGTGGGGTGGCAGGTGTGTGCACTGGTTGGGAGCCCAGGATGGGACGTGGGGTGACAGGTGTGTGCCCTGGCTGGGGGCCCAGGATGGGACCTGGGGAGACAGGTGTGTGTACTGGCTGGGGGTCCAGGATGGAATTTGGGGTGGCAGGTGTGTGCACTGGTTGGGGGCCCAGGATGGGACTTGGGGTGACAGGTGTGTGCCCTGGCTGGGGGTCCAGGATGGGACGTGGGGTGGCAGGTGTGTGCACTGGTTGGGGGCCCAGGATGGGACGTGGGGAAGACAGGTGTGTGCACTGGCTTGGGGGTCCAGGATGGGACGTGGGGAAGACAGGTGTGTGCACTGGCTGCTGGGGGTCCAGGATGGGACGTGGGGTGACAGGTGTGTGCCCTGGCTGGGGGATGGGACGTGGGGAGACAGGTGTGTGCACTGGCTGCCGGGGGACTCATTCTTGGTTTACCACCTTGCACCACCTGCTCCCTTCCTTCCCTCGACACTCCCTTTGCACGAGTTTCAGTGACAGGCAGCCTGTCACTACCATGGTCACTGCACATCCGCGTGACACAGGTGCAGGCACCCAGTAGTGGCCTTGCTGAGCACCAGGGCATCACCCCAACTATGTGCACAAGCACACACCCCTCCCTGCCCAGGGGGACATGCATGGCAGGCCCAGAAAGGCACCTGGGTACGGGCACAGATGCCTCCAAGGGCCACAGCCCAGGTGCAGGGAGCCTGCCAGGTGCACCTCTGCAGCAACCCAGACCTCAGCTCCCTGGAAGAACTGGGGTGAGTGGTTGGGACCCTGGGAGATAACGGGGTGCTGGAGACCTGGTCTACCAGACAGGAAGAGGGGACATGGGCAGGCCCCAGCACAGCCGGCCACCAGGGATGCCTACATCCAGTCTTGGAGTGCCTAGTTCCGGTCCTGGCCACTCTGCTTCTGACCCACCTTCCTAGTTTGGTGCCGAAGAGGCAGCGGACGGTGACCCAAGCACTCGGGTTCCTGTCAGTCCCACACGGGAGGCTGACGGCACCAGCCGTGCCCAGCCTTGGCCCCAGCTGGCGTGGGCTTTGGCAGTGAACCAGTGGATGTCACTGTGCCTTTTGAGAAAATACACATACAGAGAGGGAAGAGGAGAGAGGCTGGAGGAAGGCCCAATCCTAACCGTGGGCACAGACCTGTACCCACGCGCCCGCCCTGTACCCATGCACGCGCTAAAGCCACCACCCTTGGGGAGCTCCGCGGCCAACCTAACCCTTGCTTCCAGCAGCACGAGGGAGCCTTCCCAGTCCATGTCCAACCCCCTGGTGACACACACAGGGCCCGGTGAATAGAGGACGTTTAATATTTCTGTGCTGGTCAAACGAACACAGGTGGGGGATACACGGGGTGGGGCGGAGGCCCCTGCCTCTCGGGAGGGGTGGCTCGTGGAGGGGTGCATGTGGGGGGTCTCGGGCAGTATCCAGGAGCCTTCTCATCGGAGGGGCCCAGCCGGGTGTTCCGGGGGCCCGGCTGGGTGTTCCGAGCACCCAACACACCCCGTTTGCGGCCTTAAATTGGGGGTCCCCCATAGGGGGTCTGGGGACAGTCTCACTTCTTTTTCCAGCCCTTTTGCTGGAATCCAAATTCCCAGCACGATGGGGGACTTGGTCCTAGAGAGGGGTCTGCAGCGCCCCCAGGAAGCAGCCCAGGGGTGGGGCCCAGGGCTCCTGTGCCCACCCCTCCCCTCCGCCCTCTCTCCTTCCCCCAGGCTGGACAAGAGCCCGGGGTGGTCAGCAGGGCCCCCAGCCGCTACTGAATCTGACGGAGGAAGGGTGGAGGGAGAGGGTCTTGCCACCAACAGATGCTGTAAACTTTGGTTTAAAACAATAACTTAAGTGGAGGGAGGGCTTCCAGCCTGGGGCCAGGGCGTGGGGGCCGGGAGAGGGTGTGCAGGAGGCGACAAAGGAAAAAGCCAACAGAAAGTTTTGGTTTTTGCTTCCGGCATAAGAAAGGTCTTTGGTCATCCGTTTAACTGGGGGGACAGGGAGGGTGCTGGGGGCCCGCAGGCTGGGGCAGCGAAGCTGGTCTCAGCCCCCTCTTCCCTGCACCCTGGCCACCTCCCCACCATCCAGGCGCTGCCCTTGCCCCAGCTCCGGCCTCCTGGGCACTGGTCCACCTGGCACAGACCTCTGCAGGTGGGCAGGGCAGCACCCAGTAAAGGGGCGTGGGGGTGGGGGAGGGGCCTGCAGGGCACACAGCTGGTCCCACCCCAACAGCCAGGGCCTGCTTTCTCTGGGGCTGGTCTGAAGCCTCCATCCCCCGCCGGGCCGGCCAGGGGTGGCAGCTGGGGGTGGGCTCTTTCTTCACAGTACGGAAAAGGCGGCAGAAAGGGGCACAGATTAGGGAAGTTGGGGGCCTCTGGCCAAAAACCACTGCCAGAGCCAGGTGCGGGCTGGGGTTGGAGCGTGACGTAGCCCCGCCTGCGGGTCTCCATGGCGCTGAGGGGCCCTGTGGGGAGAGCTGGTGGGGGAGGAGGGCCCTGCTACTGCTGGTGGTTGGGGGTGGGGGGTGGGAATCAGATGTAGGGGAGGGTCGGAGAGGGGTCTGGGCCCTCCGTGTCCTCTATGATCCCAGACCAGGGGTTCGGAGTCCCCGGGGAGCGGGGGGAGGTGTGGGGCTGTCCCTGCCCCCAGGCGTCTGTCAGTCAGGTCACACTGGGAGTTGCTGGCCCAGGCCCCCCCCCCCCCACAATCTGAGTTCTGGAAGTGCCTTGAGGTTCGGGAGGGGCTGTGGAGTGGGGGCAGGGGGCCCAGGGCCAGGGCAGGAGGGGTCTCACCCCTGCCCTGCCCACCCCTACAGGTCCTTAGGACAGTTCCTCTCCCGGCAGCTCCTCCTCCAGGTCCCTGTCTTCCGGAGGCCCCACCGTGCCGGGGTTGGGGGGCACAAGGGGGGGCCCAGGCCGCCTGTCTTCCTCCGCCTCCGCTGGCTCCTCTTTCACCTGCACCTGGTGGCTGCAGCAGCAGGGACGGCATGGGCACCGGGGGTCTCCCTCTCATCCCCCATGCCCCTGCCACCCCATCATCACCAAGGTCTGCCTGCCCCAGGCCCAAGGGAGGGAGGGAGGCGGAGGCCGAGAGAGGAGCAGTCACTGTGTGCGTGGCGGGGGGTGGGGTGCCCATGCTGGGTGCTCACCTGTACTGGGGTGGGGAGAGGCGGGGGGGGCTGCTGCTTCCGTTGCTGGGCAGCGGCTCCACGGGAGCGCCCACATCCTCATGGCTGAGGGGCAGCAGGCTGCTGGCCGAGCCAGGGTTCAGCACGCCCGGGCTGTTGAGGAGGGGGAAGCTGCTCTCGGCCAGGGCGGCCTATGGGGTGCAGGATTGAGCCCCATCAGCAGGCCCCGCGGGGTGGGGTCCCGGGCCGTCCTCTGGGTCCATCTGCTGGTCCCACTGTCCAGAGCCCAGGCCCAATCTTGTGACCATGGCACCCCTCGCCCCTCCCAAGGCCAGAACTCTGAGCCTGGCTGCCGCCTTTGGCTGGCTGTGTCTCCGCTCTCCTGGGGGCCTGGCCCTGGTTCATCCCAGGCCACAGAGATCCCAACTGAGCAGCCAGGGAAGGGGCCACACTGGTCAAGCCTGCCCCGACCCAGAGCAGCCTCTACCCAAGGGGCAGGCTGGGCTCCGGACACCCAGAGCGGCGTCTCCCTCCCCCCATGCTCCCCTCTGCAGGGGAGGCCAAGGAGAGCCGGGGCAGCGGCAGAAGGGCATGGGGCATGGGGCGCTGTGCGGTCACCTGGTAGCTGGCATTAAGTGCTCCGTAACTGAGGCCCGAGAGCATGTTCTTCACCAGCGTGGGGCTCCTGGGGAGAGACAAGGCACTTGGGCTGCCTCCTCCATGCCTGCTGCACAGCCCAGTCGGCGCCTGTGCTGGGGACGGTTCCATCGCTGCTCCCGGGGCGGCCGGAGCAGGCCTGGCTGAGCCCTGCGGCCTCACACTGACTGGCCCAGCAGGTGGAATGGCCTCTTCCCAGGAGAGGGCGCCGAGCCTCACCTTGGGCCCTGTCCGAGGTCTCCAAGCCAGTAGCCAGGCAGCAGGACCACGCCCAGCCTGTCCTCGTGCCGGCCGCCCCCAGCCCTTTTTCTCTCAGCTCCGGTGCTTCCTATGTCCAGTAGGGGCTGTGCTGTGGCCTCCGGACTTCCATGTGTGCAAAACCCACACCTCCTGGCCATCTGAGTTCTAGCTCATGTAGTGAGCCCGTGTGTGCTCAGCCTGTCCCTGCATGCCCCACCAAAGGCCTGTGTGCCCCAAGCGGTCAAGCAGTGGCTCCAGCCTGTCCCTTACCATAGAGCCTGGCCCTGGCCTGAGCGCACACAGCTGCTAAGCAGCAGAGGTGCAGTTCGCATGCAGGTCTCAGGCTGATACCTAGCACCAGCCAGGGCTGCTGAGGGCCTCTCTCCCTCTCTGGTATCAGGTCCCCCAGGGCTCCCTCCCTCGGTCAGAATTGAGGACAGAATCCTGCCCTGATCCCAGGCACCCCTCCCCAGGCGCTGGGACCCCGGGAAGGGTCTGGCACACGGAACCCCGCTCTGCCCACGTACCCTGTCATCTTTGGCGGTCTCCGCTTCTGGTACTCTCGCTCGTCCACGGTCCACACAGCGCCCTTGACGTTCTCCACGCGGACGAAGCACTTGTGCAGGCTGAGGTTGTGGCGCACGGCATTCTAGGGGTGTGGGGAGGACAGGCTCAGAGGCGGCGGCTTAGGTCCCCTGCTCCCGGCTCAGGTGAGCACACACAGGAGTGTCCCTGTTCAGTCCAGACCTGTCTCCTGGGCAGCAGCTGCATCAAGCTTGCTGCCCCACCCCCACCCCGGCGGCAAGCCGAGGCGGGAGACCCGGCTGGAGAATAGAGCCTTCCCTGGCCCGTGGAGCCGGGGCAGTATGCATGCACACTTGGCTCTCTGCCCCTCTGCCAGGCTGACAGGTTTGGGGAAGCTGCCCTCTAGCTACATGCGTGCCATGGTGATGGCTGGTTTCCCGTTCTTTACGAATCAAGGCCAGAAGCAGCTGTGAGTCTGGGCTTCGGATCGGCGTGAGCGCGTCTCAGACACACGCCGATTCCCACTAAGCTTTCACAAGTTCTGCCCTGAGCTCCCAGACCCTCCAGCACCTGCGAGGCTGGCAGCCCCAGCGGCTCAAAGCCCGGCTCAGAGCGGAGTGCATTTGCTGAGTGTGGGGTGTGTGCCGGAGCCCTGATACCTATCTGTTGCAACAGATAACCTGGGAGGAAGGAGAGGGCAGGTTACAGCAGCCAGGCGGAACTGGGGAGAGAAAGAACAGTCACCTTGTCCCCACCCCCTCCCAGCAGGGGAATGTCAGGAATTGAGGTCGGCTGGTTTGTAGGACACTGGGTGGGGGTAGGGGGTGCCCCAGGGGAACCTGGCTGGGGCCCTAATCCACCTGCACCCCCCCCACCCCCCACAGTCTTGGCCCTGCACTCTCCTCTCCACTTCCCTGTCCTGCCTGCCCCACCGCCCCTGCCTGCCTGCGTCCCTGTCCCTCTTACCTGTCTGTCCTCCCTCGGCCTCCCCCTGCCTGTCCCCATCCTCAGCTCCTCTTTACATTTCTAAACGGGAAGGAAGCGGCCAGGGCGGGCAGCCCGTGCCCCTGGAGAGCCCCTCTCCCTCTCTCCCTTCCAACTCTTGCCACTTGCAACTGGCCCGATTTCATTACCAATTTTAATTTGCCTCTAATTAAATCCTGTGTATTTTTCCGACTCGCTTGCTAATCCACGAGGGAGGCGGGCGGCTGGAGTGGAATCTCTTGGAGCGATAATTACAAAGGGCCTAATCACGCCGGGGCTCCTGCCTCGGAATAAATTTGCCCGCATTACGGGGCTCCGATCCTCCGCTTTGCAAATGAGAATGACCCCAATTTCTGAGGATGGCCTCACCGGGGCTTTTTTCCCTCATTTCGAAGCCTGATTCGTGATGAGAGACTAATTCGTTACGCTGAAACATTAACGGCAATTTAAGGGGTCTGGCGGGGGCTGCGTAAACAAAAGGCAGGGCCCACAACACGGGCCTGGGAGGGGCCGGACACGGGGGAGGGCTGGCGAGGACCATCGGCTCGGCAGATGGCAGCGCTGTCCCCGGATGGACGGCAGCTGGCCCGGCCCACCCACACCCACTCCCAACCCTTCTGCCCTGGTTTGGGTGGGGGGCGGCTGGAAGGAAGCTGCAGTGATCCAGGAGAGAAAGAGGAGGGAGCCCTGGGAGCAGATAAACGGGTGGGTGGTGGAGGTGGAGGCAGAGTTGGCTGGAGACAGGGCAGATTTGTCAAGGAGCATGAATGGGAAAAACTCGGAAGGTCCAAGTAGACCTGCAGGTGAGACGGATTCTGCCCACTGCAAGGTTCCCGCCGGGGTCATCCTCTCCCCACCCCCCACCTCCTGGCCGGCTTCTTATGTGGACTCAGAGTACATGAGGGAGGTGGTGATCAAGAACTGGGAAGGAAAGACACCACGGAGGTGGCCAAGGCCTAGAGGTGGCAGTGGGACGGAGGGCACTGGCTTCGTGACGGCTGTGAGTAACTTAAGGACTGCCTAGGCCAGCTCTTCCTGACCTCAAGAGGAGAGAGAAGAGGGAGGAAGGGGGCTGCAGCAGGTCAGCGAGAAGGGGAGGCAGGTGCGGGGCGGGAGCAGGCACCCGTGGTGGTGGTAGGGAACTCATCCCGTAGGGACCCTATCATTCATAAAACCCAGTATCTGAACTGCCCTGGAGGTGGGACACCTGGCCAGCTGGCCCTGAAGCCACCCCTGCTGGCTCAGAAAGGGGGCAGGGCTGTGTTTGACAGGAAGTGACATCACTCAACAGCCAATCAGAACAGCTGTCCCAGCCTCACAGCCTCTCCCCCAAGCTTTGGGAAACAGGCAAGAGGATACAGGTCACAGAGTACTCCCTCCTGCTGCAGTCAGCACACGGCCCAGGCAGAACAAAGAAGGCTGGGCCCTGGGGAGACCCCATCCAGTCCGGGGCGTTGGAGGGGAGCCCGGCCTCAGAAACACTTGTTGAAATCTGACGGGATTGGAGGATGTAGCCTGTTGAATTGCAGTTTCCACACTGGCCAGTAGGGGGACTCGAGAGCCAGGGATCCAATTAAGGCATTCAGATAGGGACCCCTTCCCCATGTCTAATCTTCCCACTGGGGCCAACGCTCCCTCCTCCTTCCCCCAACCCCTTTCCCAATTTAGATGTCAGCTTCCTATCTTGCTGCACACATGCACATCCCAACTCAGCTATACAAAGATACACAGCACAGTGTCCCAGCCCACGTCCCTGTGTCCCACTTTTCTGGGGTCCCCCTCTTGCCTGCCTCTGGTCTCCCAGGAAAGCTCTCATGACTGAAGGTGCTGAAATGACTAATTAGAAAGAGACAATTATCTTCCTGACACCGACTGCAGAGCCAGGGCAAACCTCCGAGTGCCTGTGTCTGGGACAGCGTGTAGTCCCTCGGTTTGTCCGCGCATCCAGGCCTGCACATCCCTACAGCCACCCTTGGCTTCAAGATATGTGGCTCTGGCCGCGAGACCTTCAAGGTCTCTATGAATGCAGCCCAGGCCTCCTACCACCCTTGGGCATTATCAGATGGAGACTTTGGGCCAGAGGGGGACACTCCAGGGCAGGGTTTCAGCCCCGAAAGAGGGCAGCAGCAGGCTGGAGAGAAGGTGTCACTGAGGGCAGTTCCAGACAGTCCAGCACCTGGCCTGCCATTTCTGCAGGGGGCAAACTGTCAGCAGCCTGGGTCTCCCGGGGCTGGGCCAGGGCGCAGGGGCACAGCTCACCTTCCAGGTGGCAGTGTTTCTGCGGAAGTAGGCAAACATCCTGGTGAACCAGTTATAGATCTCATTCAGGGTCAGCTGCCTGTCGGGGGTTTCCAGAATGGCCTGCGGACAAGAAGCAGCAAAGGGACCCTCAGTCTGGGCCTGGGGGGAGTGTCTCACCTCTGTGTTCTCTCCCCCAGGACCCCTCCTTTCTGTCCGGCCCCTGGCTCAGGGTGAGCAGGAGACCCACTGCAGAAGTAAGAGGGGGGTGGGGTCCACAGTCTCTAGAGGCTGCGTGCTCATCACAGGAGCAAAATGGAGCAAAAACAGGTCCAAGTGTCCCCCCGGGGGGCGGGCTGTGGATATAAGCAGAATGCCTTGACCTTGGGCAAGGTAAGACAGGGTGTATGTATGTATGTATGTGTGTGTGGGGGGGGAGTACCAGAGAGGATATACGTGTGAACAGATGTTCACATGTGAGTGTGAGACAGGAGGCAGGAAACCCAGGAGAGTATGTGTGTGAGTGTGTTGGTGCGTGCATGCAGATGTGTGAGAACCGAGGGTTCCCTCTCTCCATGGAGGGAGCATGAGCGCAAGAAGTGGGCACATGACGGACGCACACGAGTCTGACGGACCCCAGGCGCCCTGCGAGCGGGAGAGGGCAGATTCCCCGGCCCCAGGCCGCCCGCCCACCCGCATGCTCACCTGGCGGATGAGGGAGGCGTAGGTGAAAGGTGGCCTGACGTCAGCGTTCTTATAGAACTCGTGGTTCTGGGCCAGCTCTGGGGGAGGAGAGGCAGGGGGTGAGGCAGCCGGCCGGAGGGGGCGCCCAGCCCGGGAACAAGCTGCCCGGCCGCCCGCCCTGACCTGAGGAGATGGGGGAGCAGAACTTGTCGCTGCTTCTCCGGCGGGCCGGGCCCCCGCCGTGCAGGGAGGCCGAGCTGAGGCCGGGGGGCCGCAGGGGGGTGACGGGGGCGGCGGCTGAGGTCGGGGGGTGCACAAGACCATCTGGGAAGGAGTCTGCTGCAGAGACGGTCACCTTGGAGAACGAGGAGGACCGAGGACCGGGTTCAGCTGTGAGCCAGGAAGGTGGGGGGCCGAGGGTGCAGGGGGCTGTGGAGGGGTTCCGGGCGGGCCGAGACACTCACCGGCTGGCTGAAGGGCTTGGGCTCCGAGGGCCGCATGTGCAGGTGGGCCATCATGGCCTGCAGCCGCTCGCTCTCCTTGGCCAGCTATGGGGTTAGGGGTGGGGAAAGGTGAGCAGGAGGCAGGGGCTCCTCTTCCTCCCCGCCCCACCCCCACTCACCTCCATGTATCAGCACCCCAGCCTCTCAGCTCTGCCCCATGGTCCTCCTCACCCTGGAGGCCAGGAGGGGAGGCGTCCCCCTCTCTAGAACACTGGTCCCCTCCTCCTCCGCGTGTGACCTCATGGTCCTCCCTGTGGGCTCCAGGACTGAGCTCGTCCCCGCCCTCCATGTCCTTGAGGGCCTCTCTCCCCGTGGAGGGTCCGGGCTGCGGCTGAACAACAGCCCAGTGCCCAGGGCAGCGGCACTCGCATGTGAGAGGGCCCTTGCCGACTGAATGGCGACGCGGGAGTGGATGAATGATTCATTTACCCCCATTCATAAATTCAATGGATCTTCCACCAGTACCCTCTCAGGGCAGGCCGCTCTGCTGTGAGCACAGGCAGATGGGGAAACGCTGGCTGGCTGGCTGGCTGGCCCAAGTAGTCTCTTGAGTGCCTCCGGCTACAGAGCTGAGAGCCAGGAGCCGGACTGCCAGGGTTCCACTTCCAGCTCTGAGTGGCCACAGGCCAGTTACTTTGCTCTGTGCCTCCATGTTCCCCATTTGTAAAATGGGGACACCACACCCCTAGCAAGGTGAGAGGACTCCCTGAGCTAAACGGGGACAGTGTGGAGCACAGCACGAGGCCAGGTGTGTTAGCTGGGAATGGGATTTTTGTTTTGATGTAGCGTGCATCTCTGCTGACCTCCCAACAGAGCGCTCCCCCCCCCCCCCCCCCGCCCGGCCCGGCCCTGCCCCCTGCTGTGGCTGTGGCTGTGGCTGCGGCTCACCCCCGGAACCCAGTGGCCCTCACAGCCACGCGCGGCTAAGGTGGCGGCTCTGCCCAGGGGGCCCTCCCCAGAGACACCCCCTTCCCTGCCGCCACGGCCTGCGGGCCACACCTGGATCTCCAGCTGCTGCACCACCTGCATCTGCACCCGGCACTGGGCCGTGCTCCGGTCGTCCAGGGCGTGCTCTGTGTTGAGGTGTCTTCAAGGAGGGGAGAGGCAGAGCTGTCACCACCCTCCCGTCCCATCCTCTAACCCCGCCCACAGCCTGAAAAAGCAGACCGAGAGCTACAAAGAAGAGAACGAGGTGGAAAAACGGGGCAAGGCACAAGCCTTCTCGTCAGCCGCCTTTGATGTCTTTGCTAAAACCCCCGCTACAGAGAGATCTAATTGCAAATGAACTAATTAAGTAAACCTCTGACGAAGCGTGAAAACAATTTGTTTGACCCTGATGCTGCAAGGGTCTGGGAGACAGCGGAGTTAATCAGTCAGCGACAGAGCCTGGCACGGCAGTGGCAGCTGGCCGCCTGCTGCCAGCCGCCTGTCCGCCTCCCGCCCGTCGGTGGCTCTCAGCCCGTCACCGGGCCGTCACTCCAGCGGCTGAGCAGGCAGGGAAGCCAGGGCAGGCAGGCGGGCAGAGACGCGGGCTCGGCTGTGTCCTCTCCTCCTCCTCCTCGCGCTCCACCCCCTGCCCTGCGTGGGGGTGGGTGAGCAGGGAGTGAGTGGGGGACAGAGAAGGAACTGGGCCCCCCGGAGGGAGGGCGGTAGGACAGCTGGTGACACAGAAGGCCCCAGAAGCGACGAGCTAGGTGGCAGGCTGCAAGAGGGGGTGGGGAACAGGCCCAGTGGGGGGATACCTACTTGATAAACTGGCCCAGGTCTTCGCACAGGGTCTCGCAGCCTGGCCACTTGCACTCTCCGTGTCCGTAGAGGGGGTGGGAGCTGGGGGTCTCCTCGAGGGAGGAGCTGGGGAAGGGGGCGGGAGGGAGATGCTGTCAAGAGCCTGAAGACCCCAGCAGTCCCGCCCTCCCCCCAGAGGCATTTCTGTCCCCACCACAGGTTTCCCAGAGGCCTGCCATGGTTTTGGATGCCTTGGGAGAGGGATAAGTGTCCAGGCTTCTGAACCCCAACCCTGGGTCCCCCGCCTCGCCCAGCACGGGTGCCATCCCCGGGGTAGGGCCTCAGCCCCGCTCTGTCAGGCCCCTGTACCTGTCTCTCCGAGCTGCGAGCACAGTGGGCTGTCCATTGGGCAGGGTGTGGTGGGAGAGGGGGGGCGAGACCTTGGGAGGGGCGGAGAACGAGGTAGCGATGGCGGCCGAGCCGGTGAGGTCCAGCCCCTCCTGCTTGACGCTGTCCTCGGCAGGCTGCCCGGGGGCACCCTCGCCCTTCCACAGCTGGGGCAGCTCCGTCGGGCACACGGCTGCTGCGGGAGACACAGCGGAGGCTGGCAGGGCCCCGGGGGCCACACGGCCTCCCACCTCGCCCCCCACCCCCCAGGAGCAGGGACTGCTGGCTCTGGGGTTGCAGGGAGGGCGGCGGGCTGCTCACCTTGAGGGAGAGTCTGCAGGGGCCCGGAGGCTTGGCTGGGCTGCAGGCTGACCAGCCCCTGCCTCTGCAGGTTGAGCAGGTGTTGCTGCTGCAGCTGTTGCATTTGCAGGAGCTGCTGCTGGAAGGCCAGCTGCTTGTTCCCCAGTGCCTGGTGGGGGGCCCGAGGGGGCGCGCACAGAGGGCTTCCGTCAGCCTCGGGCGTGCCATTGGGCCCCCACCCCGCGGCCACCGCCTCCCAGGGCCTGTCGGCTCCCGGAGCTGTGGTGGCGGCGTCTGCCGCTGCAGCTTCTCTGCTCCCGGCCCAGCTTCCATAGGGCTGCATGCCGCCTCCGATAAACACACGCATGCACGCACGCACGCACGCGCGCAAACACACACAGCCAGACTCAGACACGCAGCACGACGCCCCCCCCCCCCCGCCCTCCTCCCGCCTCTGCCCCCTCCCTCTGCTGCTGCAGCTCCGGCACGGCAGCTGTGCGCCCCTTGGTGGGGGCGCATCACCGTGATCGATGAGCCTGTCACACTCCAGGGGCCAACCCTGCCTGGAGGGCACCCTTCCCACACGCCCGGGGTGCCCCCCCTCTGCCTCTCCCCACAGCTCTCTCCTCTCTTGCTTTTCAGAGAGGCCTGGGACCCAGGCTCAGGGCAGTCGCAGCCCTGCTGCCCAGGTGCCTGGACTGGCTGCCTTGCTCCCCCCACCTCAGCCCCTCACAGAGGCACTGACAAATCAGGCTGTCAAAGGGTTTCCGAAGCCCCAGGAGCCAAGCGAGTCCTGGGGTTTGGGGGGCAGGGACGGTGGAGTCAGGGTGCAGGGGTGGTTATTTGTAAGGAGACCCCAACACACAGCAGGCACGGGCACTTACAGGCAGGCCATGGCAACTACAAAACCCTCCCTGACGGGGAGGCTGGGGGTGTTGGAGAATGGCCAGACACCATCAGGGCAGCCTTCCCGGAGGAGGCAACTGGGGGCTGTGAGGCAGGGGAGGGGCCTACAGGGGGTTGTGTAGGCGGCTGCAGGAGGCCCTGTGGCCCAGATGGGGCAGGGGAATTCTGAGAGCAAACCCATGGGGAAAGGGAAGAAGGGGCTGGGTGGGCCCTGCCGAGGACAGTGAAGCTGGGCGGGCCAAGGTGGGGGAGGTGGTTGCTGCGGCCCAACAGATTCTCAGGACCAGGAGCAGCTGGAGAGCAGGGGCCCTGACAAACCAACGGTGCGGACAGCACTGACCACGAGACAGCCAGACACAGCCGCCCCGCCAGCCACTCACGCCCGCTCCACACCCACGCACGGGGACCACGAGGGGGCTGGGCCGGGGGCCGGGGGGCGCCCTGGTGGCCCTGCTGCTCCCCAGCTTTCCCTACCCCCCTCCTGTCCTCACGAGGCGAGCCGCTCCTCCGCCAGGCGGGCTGGGAGGTGCTCGTGGGGCTCAGGCACCACAGGGCCTCTTACCTCCTTGGGTTGCTGTTTCCCAGCCTGCTGTTGGGTGAGGAGCTGTAGGTGGAGCTGCTCCTGCTGCTTCTTGTAATACTCCTGCAGCTGGGGGCGGTGCAAGGTGGGGGAGGGGTTACGCCCCCACTCCCTGCCCCCCTGGCTGCAACCCCAGCCCTGTCCTGTGCTGCCTGGACAAGGGGCGGGGCAGCAGAGGGATCCGGAGCGAGCGGGGCCTAGTGGGGAAGGGAGACTCAGCCTTCAGCTGGGAACCCTCCTGCCTCTTGGTGGGTCCCTCTGGATAGATCATGGGACAGGGAACTAGTTTGCCCTTCCTTGTTGTTTAGGAGATAGCAGGAGGGAGGCGGCGGTGGGGGTGGGGGGAGGCTGCTCCGGTGGGACCTCTGACCTCTCCCAGCTGCCCTGGAAGAATGCGGATCAGTCCAGCCTGAGCAGTCTCTCTGGTTTCTGTGACAACTTGGGCCCTGGGTGGTGTTGGCAGTAAACACGACAGGAGACCCGAGGCCAGAGGCCGGGGGGGGGGGGGGGGGGGGGGGGGGGATGGGACCCTGCTTTGGAGTCAGACTCACCTGCTGCAGCATGAGTGCCTGCTGCTGCTGGAGCAGGGCCTGCAGCTGCGGGGGCGACAGGATCTGCTGTACCTGCTGGGGGGTGAGCATCTGCGGCGACATCATGGCCACTGACACGGGCACCTGCGGGAGTTGCCCTGTTAGCCTGCTCTGCTTGGCAGGGCAGCACCCAGGGACACTGCCTGGGTTCGAATCCTGCCTCTGCCCTGGCTGTGGCTCTTAATACGAGTGACTCACCTCCGGTTCTGTTTGTCTTGTCTCTAAGGTGCAAACGACAAGAGCACAAGAGCGCCGAGCCCTTACAGTTCCCAGGAGCATTAAGGCATTCACCCTTAGGGCAGAGACTGGCACACAGCAGGTGCTGATAAAGGTGGGGCCCAGGCCATCATCGTAGCATGCACTGCTGTGTGACACTGGTCAGGGGGACCCATGCTTTGGAGGGCTTCTTACTCAGAGGTGGGGAGGGGCACCAAGCCATCCCCAGTCTTGCTCAGTCTCTTCAGAGCCCCTGACTGGCAAGGGCACCTTGGCGCACAAGGGCAGTCTGCAGCCGTGGGAAGGAGTCAGAGTGGCCCACGTGGCCCCAGGACTGGACACTGGCCCTGCCACACACACACTCCAGCACACCTGGCAGATGACAGTCACAGCGGTCTGGCGCTGCAGCCAGGGAGCTCTGGGTGGCAACGGGGGCGAGTGCACAGGGCTGCAGTGATGTCCCCCGTGGGGCACTGAGAGCAGCAGGCAGGGAGTCAGGAGTGCAGGCTTCTACAATCAACCTGCTGTGTGACCTCGAGCAAGTCACCTGCCCTCTGGGGTGTTGGTGTCCTCAAACATCAAGCCCAGGGCCTGACCTCTGACAAGAGGTAACTCCCTCTAGCTGGAATGTCTGCGATTCTCAAAGGCCAGTGGCTTTCTGCATTTTCAAGAATCCAAAGGCAAGAAAAGGTTCAGAGACAAGCAAAGACATTGTTCTCTTCCCAGCCCTGCCTTGCCCGAGCCTCCCAGGCTCGCGCAGTCAGGCTCGGGAAGCCCAGGCCACACGCCGTCCTGACCCCGTGTTAGCATACCAGGTGCCACCTTTCTCTGCTAGCCCAGCAGGCACGGGACTCTCATCTCCTTTCCTATATCCAAGCCCTGGCACAGTGCCTGACACATAGTAGGCGCTCACTGTTTGCTCCCTTGAGCTGTCACGCCCTCCCCAGCAGCTGGGAGGCCCCTTTGAGGGCCCTGGGGCAGTCAGGGAGGGTTGTCAAGCAGGGGCTTGTGGGGAGCAACTGGGAGCAACTCGGACTAGACTAAGTTACTGGAATTAAGACTTATTCTATGCATCTGCTCTCCCACAATATGGCGCTGAGAAGGGAAACAGCTTCTACACAGCTGCCTCCAGTTCAACCAACAAGCTGCAGGACCTGCTCCTGATTGGAGGAGAGCAGTGTACTCGGCGTGTGGGTAGCAGAGTTGGGATTGGTGGAAGAGGACTACAAAGGAGGAGAGACACAACATGCACCAGGAACATCTATCTGAAGGAACACCTGTGCAGCCCCCGAGAGAACCGGCCGGCGGTGTGCCGCTCCCCCGCGGAAGTGGGGAAAGTGGCCAGGGGGATCCGCCCTTCCACGGAGGTGGAAGGGACGGTAGCCAACCCGGGAAGAACCAGCAGCAAACCTGGGGAGGGCCGAGCAGACAAAAGAACAGCGCAGGGTCCTGTGTCGTTCCTCCACGAAGAGGGGGAGCGACATAATGGTGCCGTGACTCGGATATGAAGCCTAGGCAGGGTTTAGTGTCGTTCCTCCATGAAGAGGGGGAGCGACAGGGCTTGCTCTGCATAGGGACAGGCTAGGCCCCGGGGGACCCTCCCCTCGGCCCCAGCCCCACCAGCGGGGCCCCTTCCCGTCCCTGGCAGGGCCAAGACTCAGCCGTGAGGCGCCCCCTTAAGCTATAGGTTCGGAAATCCCCAGGCAGAGGAGCAAGCAAGATGAACCGAATCCAGGGACCCCGGAAGTCCCACAGGCGCCCCTTCTCCTCACCCACTCCTGGGCTTTACCTCTAGCCCAGCTCTGCGGGAGGGGGACCACCGAGCTTCTTAGACCTGGCCGTACCACGGGACACACCCGGGGGCCTCGAGGCTCCTGGGGAACATGCCTCATTAGCTTTTAGGAGCTTCCCCCCCCTCTCTCAGCCCCCTTTCTGCCAAGGAGGAGATCAGAGAGGTCTGGCGGCTTGCACACCACAGGGGACTGAAGCACCTCCATGCGCCCGCCGCACCCCAAGCATGGCCTGGCGCGGGCCAGGGCCAGCATGTGGAAGGGGGCAGAGAGGGTGGACATCGCCGGGCACCCTCTCCACAGCTGCACTGCAGAAGGAGCCTCTGGAACACTAGGCTGCTGGTGTCAGGGCCCTCAGTCTCCGGGGGCCCGGGCTTGGAGGCAGGCAGCAGCACAGCCCCACCCCCTCGCAGAGCCAGCCCCTGCAGGGCAGCGGAGGCGGCCCAAATCTAGAGACTTGGATAGCAGCCGCTAGGCTGGGAGCATCCTTGCTTTCTTCTTCCCAGGGGCCCACAGGGTCCTGGCTGAGTCAGTGACCCAGGCTCTTGAACCTGAGATTTACCATTGTTTGAAATCACCAAGCCTCACTTTCCGTCAGCTGACTGGGGCGGAAGCACCTGCTCTCCTTGTGCCACACTGCTGCACGGGAGGCGGCGCCCACAACCTGTCACAGCAGGTGCCTGGCAAAGCCTTTTCTATGTACTGTGACTGCATCCTCACAGCGATCCCGTGAGGGGGAGGGAGGGAAATCATCATCACCCATTTTACAGATGAGAAAGCAGAGGCCTGGGGTGCGTCAAGAACCTGCACTGTCCTGGAGCCACCCCTCTGATCACAGCCCACAGCGAGAGACCGGGGTGGACACTCGGATCTTCCCAGGCACCAGGACTGAGTCGCCCAGGGTGGCACACAGGAAGCATGTGGCATTTCCTTCCTCCGAGCCAGGGAATGGAAGAGATGACCTCGGAAGGCCCCCCGGCCCCTGCTGTCCCTGCCCGTGGGCGAGCAGCCAGCTGTGGACATCTGGATGCACTGCCTCGTGTGTGCTTGTCTCAAGGTGGCGCAGTGGGGCCAGGCAGGCATGGGGGTCCTAGGAACCGGGCTGAACTCCCCCAGTGTCCCCACTGACGCTTCAGCAGGCTGGACGTGTCAAGTGCCGGCCAGTAAGCTCAGTGAGCCGAGTCTGAGGAGCAGCCACTGGCTGAATGCTGGCAGCTGCCTGCAGCGCCCCGGGGGCCCTGCTCAGGCCCCTGAGGCCTCCGCCCACCTTGAGTGCAGTGTGCTGGGTCACAGGCCTGAGCAACAGGTGCAGACACACACCCAGCGTGGAGGAAGCTTGTTTGGGGCTGAGGTTGGGCGGGATGCAACTTGGTGCTATAGACGAGGCCCCAAACTCAACCTCCCAGGTATGGAATCTGGGGTCCCTGAGTGAGTGGGGAGCAATGTGGGTAGATCAGGCTAGAGCTCAGCTTGGGTTCAAGTCCCTTGCAAATGACCAGAAGGAAATCCTCAGGTCAATTCTGGGCTGGAGCTGCAGCCAAGGATTGGTGGTGAGACATCAAGAACTTCCAGAAATGCCAAATGGGAGGCAGAGCCACAGAGCCTGACTCTCGCCACCCCCAGCCCACATCCACCTCTCGGCTCCTCTCCTTGCCTGGGGCCCAGGCCAAGCCATGTCCAGGCAGTGCTGTTAGGCTGGAGCCGGAGACCCAAAGGCATTTTGGAAGTTGGCTCTAGGAGTCGGGTGTTGGAAGTGAGTGGGCAGGCAGTCCTTCTGGGGAGCAGAGCAGGGTCCTCTAGGGAGTTGGACTCCAGCCTCGCTCTCCCGTGCACCAGCAGCCCAGAGAGCACCTGCAGGCCTGTGAGCTCAGAGGTGGGGACGGGAGGCCAGGAAGGACCCAGGGTAGGACGAGAGGGGAGGGCTGCCAGGCACCTGGGCTCTAGAGGAAGCTCAGACATGGCTCCAAGAAACCCCTCTCCCTGAGCCCCAGAGAACCACCCAGGCAGGGCCTCCAAACTTGGAGGCTTCTGACCGTGGGGTCCAGGGTACGAAGCACAGCAAATGGGAGGTTAAAGGGGTGAGCACTGGAGCCAGCTGTCTGGGTTCACATCCAGGCACTGCCCCTTATCTGACTATGGGCAAGTTATAGTCTCTCCGGGCCTCAGTTTTCTGGTCTGCAATGTGGGGCTGATATTGACCCCCACCCCAGGGGTCTGCCGCCGGGCGAGTGCTCTAGAAATGTCTGGTTGGCTTTAGGGCAGGATCCATCAGCATTTGTGAAACGAAGGAGTGGGTTTTTGGGAGAGAAAAGTCTCATCTGTCTTTCCGATCCCTTGCGTTTTGGAGGGGGCCTCCTAGGTTTGAGCCCACAGCTTTCTGCCCTCTCCCCACTGCTTCAGCCCAGCTGGGAAGTCCTCCTTGGTGCCTGGCCACAGCTCTTCCAGCTACTGCTGAGCCCTTTCTGGCTTGGGGGGACAGTGCTGCTCCCCACCTTTGCCTCTGTGTTCTTAGCGGGGGCACTAAGCCAGACCCAGGAAGGGGCCCGAGGGAGGAGGGAGCATGGCTGGGGGTCCAAGGCCCCACCCTACAGGGGTGTGAGAACCTTCTCTCCCTCCCTTTATCAGCCCTGCCCTCCCCACCACACCTCTGCCCGGGGCCTCTCCTCTGGGGGTGGACTCAGTGGGCTGGAGAGTTTTAGCAGAGCCCTACTGCTAGTGCACATCTGTCCTGCACATCTGCCCGGCGCCTTGGGCACTTTCCAAACGTAAGCTCATTTTCTATAAAACCCTGAGACTTCATCAGATCCCCCGGGGCCCAAGCCCGGGCCCCAGTCTTCCTCCCCGCACCCTGCACCCCTCCCCACTTCCCAGACTCCCCCCATCTGCTCAGGGGCACGCTCACCCTTCCTGCCTTAGATAAACTTCCTTTCAAAGCTCGCTAATCTTCTCCCCAGTTCCAAGCCCCTCCAACCCCCATAACTGCTGTACGAGGGGAGGGGGCTCGCATGCCAGGTTGGGGCGGGGGAGGGGAGTGGGCTGCCCGAGTGGTGACCCATCCCGGACCCAGACAGCAATTCTCCAAGTTCTTTGTGACACAAAAGGTAAACAGAAGGCCTGGCTTCCCCCTACCCCCTCCCAGGTCTCCCCTCCCCCCCCACCAGCCAGATGGGCCAGCAAGCTGGGGGGAAGGGAGAGGGGGAAAAAGGGCAGATTGTGTAAAGGAAAACAAAAGAGATGGAGAGACTTGCAGAGACAGGAAATGCAGAGACTGGGGGACCAGGGGGGAGGGGGCTGGGAACTGAGAGGGACAGACAGAGTGACCCATGGGACAGGTCGGCAGAGAGGCAGAAACACGAGAAGTGTAGGGAGACCTTGTAGGGAGGAGGAGACAGCAGAGCTGCAGCCACAGAGCAGCAAGGCCGGACCAGGGCCGGGCTGATCAGGGGAGCCAGGAGAGAAAGTGTGAGTTTCTCGGCCCCACCCGGGAGAGGCTATTTCCCTCTGGAAAGCGGCCCACTTGCTGGCCTTGGTGGCTGGCAAGTCGTTCGCCAGTGGGTCCTTGCCTCCCTGGCCCCATGCCACGCCCACCCTCCAGACCCGGCCCTGCCCAGAGCGAGGTGGGGGGGCCCTCCTCCTCCTCACCTGCATGGCAGAGGCGGACTGCTTGCTGTCATTGTTGCCCGGGGAGCTCAGGCCCGAGGCCTGCTGCAGCAGGAACTGCCTGGCCACCTGGAGAGCCTGCAAGACAGGGGCTCCGTCAGTCTGCTGAGCCAGGGGAAGCCAGTGGGCCGGCAGGGTGCAGGGAAGGGCAAACTGTCAGGGTTCAGGCAGCAGAAGCAACAGGGACGCCCCCAAGAAGGCTCTGCGAGGACTCAGTGTGGACAGCAAATGGAAGGGCCGGAGGTCAAAAAGGACTCCGGGGCAAGGACAGGGCAGGTGCCGGGTACCAGTAGCAGGTGCCATTTGTTGAGCATCTATTCTGCTCCAGGCACTTGACTGGCAAGATCACATCTCCTCCTCCCGAGGTCCGGACCATCAGCAGCAGTTTTGCAGATGAGGAACCCAAGTCTCAGAAGGCTGTAACTTGCCCCAAGGTCGCACAGCTTGGAGCTTTCCAAATCCGTGGAGCCTGGCTCCCAGGGCACCTGCCTACTGGAAGTGGTTGGTCTGGGGACTAAGGGAGCAGCAGTCTGTGTGGGGTCAGAGCACACAGCTGGGGGGGATGAGGGCAGAACCTAGGAGTGAGGAAGGTGGTGCAGGGGCCCAGCACTGGTGTGGCTTTCTGAGCTGAAGGCATATGGTGCAAGGCCTTGTGGCACTAGGGCAACTAGATCATGTCCCACAGCGGGTGTGTGAGCTATCAGTAGACATATGAACCTAGGTGATTGGGCTCGGGGGTCCACGGAGAGCTGGACCGGACCCTGAGCCACAGGTGCCCCAGGGATGAGCAGAACAAGGAGTCTGAAGAGCTCTGGCGGGGGGGTGGGGGGTGGTTTAGTGTGACAGGCAGGGAGTTGGGGCTGTGAGGGAGGGGTCTGGGAGGCCAGCTGAGCCCCCATCCCATCACTGGGGGGTCAGAGGTGGGGAGTGGAGGGACTTGTCCTCCATCCACATTCCAGGAACACCGAACCTACCTGCCCTGAGGTCCCACACAGACTGCTTGAGAGCCAGGGCAGCGTCTGAATCCCAGCTCTGCCGTTTGCCAGCCATGACCTTGGGCAAGTCATTCCCTGGCTTATCTGCAGAACTCGGACCCCACCCATCTCCAAATTGCTCGAGGGATTAAAGGGCCCGTGCTTGGCACCTAGCTGGCATTCGGGGAGTGTTCCCTCCCTTCCCTTCTCATTAATCTCCCAACGGCTTTCCACTTCACCGCCTCCAGCCTCTCCCTGGCGCAGCCTGGATGGAGGACAGGTGCCCACGAGGGGTGCCCACTCACACCTGTCTGCACACATGCCTGGCGTCCTCTCACGCACCTTCGGGGCAGAACCTTTCACGGCGGGATCTGGATGTGTCGGACGCTCTTGCCACTCAGCAAACACTTGCGGAGCGCCGGCTGTGTACCGAGCACACACACACACGCACCCCCGCGGCCCTCTCATCATCGAAGGGAATGGAGAGCCTCCCCGGAGGTCCAGGCCTAGTTTGCCTTAGGCTGGTGTCTAAACACACACCCGGGTATCTATGGGAACGTGGCCCCCAAGCAAACCTGAACTTCACAACGGTGTGCTCCTCCCCCACCCCTTCCCCTTGACCTCACCCCTAGAAAAGCATCCTGGGCTTCCAGGGGGAGGCAAGACTCCCTTCAGAATGCCCAAACCTGACCTTTCTGAGCTCCAGGCTGTGTGAGGGTGGGCAGACACGGACAGGAAAGGCAGGGAGGTGGCTGGCCCTCACCGACTCCCCCAGGTGTAATGACAAGTGCTCTCTGTCCCTCAAAGATGGAGAAAGGGTGTGCAGGTATTGGGGGTGCAGTGGTCGGAGGCGTGGGGGAAAGATGGCTAGGAAGAGCCGACAGCCCAGGCAGCCTAGGGGACACTGCTGAGGGTGGGGCAATGGAGGCCGGGATCCCAGGGCTGGGGAGTGGTAAGGGAAACTGAATTCACTCCTCTCCTGGCTGTCTCTTACTCTGGTCCCCTAGAGCATGGAATAGTCCCAGACAGACAGAAAACAACAACAGGGCCTCGCAATCGCGTCCCGTGGCATCCTGTGACAGCCTCCCACTCCCCAGTCTATCCCTGCCCCCTTGCCTGGAGCACTCCCTTTGGGCCAGAGGAGAGCCAGGTAAGGCGCTGGGCCTGGCCCAGGCTGTCCCTCCCCTGCCTTCCCACCATTCTCTGCACGCCCTCCCTCCTTCATTCACGTCGACCAAGGGGCTGCCGTGCGCCACAACCGCACTTGGTGTGGGGGAACAGGCTCGGGTGTGGAGCCGACCATGGCACACAGAGGCTGAGACGGAGGTGCAGGGGAGGTGAGCATCAGCGGCCCCTTCTCTGAGCTCTGCTGCGGGGCGGGTTGGGGAGGGCTTCTCGGAGGCCATGGCAGCTCTGGACTCCCAGAGGGTGGTGCACGGGGAAGCTGCAGGGCGTTGCCACTGTGCAGGTCCGATGGCCCGGGGCAGAACACTGAATTGTGTGCAGGGTGACAGCAGGAGAGGCCCCAGGGGACAGGGATCTGAACTCCAGGCACACTTCTCTTTTACTCACTCCCCTTTCATGTTCACCTGCATGACACAGGGCACCCACAACACAAAGTCATTTCATGTAGTTCGCTTTCAACCCGGCCCTGATTCACCGTAGGGCCCAGTGGCACCAAAAAGACCACCAGGGGTGGGGTTCGGGGCAGATCCTGAATCCAAGCTCCCCTCCCCAGATGGCCTGGGCATGCTCCCACTACTCTCTACCCCCCACCCCTGCCCTCATCCTCCACACACGCAGCCCCCAGCGGCGGACAGGGCCGTCCTCCAGAGTGGTCACCCAGGGGACCACACAGGTCACATCCTCACTGCGATGCTGTCAGGGGGCCCTTAGGAAGCTGACCCTTGCAGCTTCCTTGAAAATGCAGATTCTGTCGAGCTGGCTGCGGGCGCTGTGCTCCAAGCACCCCACACGGCACGTATGCAACAGCAGGGACTTCGGAGTTTGCGGAAAAAATGGAGTGAAAAGATGAACTTGCCTTTATGTTTACATCCCGAAATCCATTCAAATGAGGAGCCTTCAAACAATTCATGGAGAATACATGTTATGGAAAGACTACGCATGGACTTCAACATTTTTTATACAAAAATAAACTTATTTCTAATTCCACTGTTGCAGGAACTTTTTGAAGCACCCTTATCCTACTCATTAAATTCATTTTAGTCTAGGCTGAAAACAGGAGGCAGGCACTGAATCTAAGAGCTGACACCTGGGGGCTGCTGCTTGTGACACAGGCATCCGGTATCCAAGTGCTGCCTGGAGACCCAACTGCTCCACTTCTGATTCAGCTCCCTGCTAATGGGCCTGGGAAGGCAGCAGAGAATGGCCCAAGTGCTTAGGCTCCTGCCACCCACACGGGAGACCCAGATGGGGCTCCAGGCTCCTGGCTTTAGCTTCTGCCAGCTGTTGCAGCCATCTGGGGAGTGAACCAACAGGTGGAATATTACTCTGTCTCTCCCACTCTTTCTCTGCCTTTCAAATAAATAATTTAAAAAAAAAAAAACAAACAACAGAGCTTACAATTGTATAGAGCCTTGCAGTTTTCAAAGCAGTCCTGCACTGGTGGAAGCCTCACAATGTTGAACGAAGCAGAGCAGCTATCGCTGCCTCCCCCTTGCAGACAAGGAAACTGAAGCCCAAGGCCCCACAGCTGGCAAGTGGGAGTCGTCCAGACACCTCTGCTGCCCGGCCGCCACCCCAGAGAGGGCGCCATGTCACCGCGCACAGCCAGCGTGGCCTAGGACTCTGCATTTCCCTGATTTGTGTGCTTTCAGTTCTGTGGTTGGGAAGGGGAGGCAAAGGTATGGGGAGAAGGACAAGAAAGGGGGTCCCTAGGGAAAGGCGGGGACCAAAGAAACCCCCATGGCAGTCTGGGCAGGCATGGCATTTAGATTCCACGCCTGGGTAAGCCATCCTGCAAAGCCTGGGGCCTGGGGGAGGCGGGGAGGAGGCTGAGGACAAGGCAGAAAATGGAGCCACGGAGCCTCTTCAGATCTCACTTCCCTCCCATCTACCCAGCCCTGTGGTCCGGGCTCAAGGTCTCGCTTCCTCCAGGGAGGCGGTATTGCCCCGTCAGTGCAGGGGCCCTGGCCAGAGAGATCAGGATGCAGGTCCTAGCTGCAACACACACGCGTGACCGTGGAGAAGTCACTTTCCTTCGGTGAGTCTGATTCTTCTCCTGCAAGACACAGACAACTCCACACCACTTCTCAGAGGCGCTGTGCAGAGCACCCTGCCGGACAGTGCACACGGAGGCCCCAGCAGAGCGTGCAGCACCTGGGGAGTCCTGGACGAACACTAAGCACCATCATTACTCAGCCTGCACCAGGCAAGCTCCTGGTCGTCTGCCCAGTGCCACCCAGAAGGCCTTGCTCACAAACCCTCTTCCACACCACACCTCCCTCATTCCCCTTCAGGCCTGCTAATGAAGCTGAACAGCCCCTCCCCCCTTCCCCATTCAGAAATCATTAGCAGGATCTCCACAATTAGGCACCAATGGTTTATAACAGATGGCGTCCGGGGAGGGCAGCTGGGGAGGAGGGGAATGAAGCGGTGGTTCTGAGGGCAACAGGGAGGGGCTGAGAAAAGAAACAAGGCTTAGGGCAGTGGGGCCCCTCACCTCTGGGACCACACTCCCCTGTCTGAGAATTTGTGGGTTGGGGGTGTCACCCTAGGAAACCCAGGTGCAGGGCTCCTTAGCAGTTCCTTCACCTGCAGGTGCGTCCTTATTCATGTGTTGTGGGGGCAGGGGGTGTAGAACAGACAGACAGCTGTCAGTGGAGTCACAGACCCATGGCCGTTCGGTGTTTGTCAGACTGCTGGCAGTGACCCCACAGAGGGGGCATGTCTCGACCTCAGTTTGGTGGGTCCAAAGTCAGGAACTGCATACCCCCGTGCATACTGCTCCAGCTCACTTTACAGATGAGCGTGGGGGCTTCCAGGGCAGCGACTTATCCCCAGAGACACAGCAGCAGCGGCGGTGGCTACAGAGCCTGGACGGTGCCCTGTGCCGAGAAAAGCAGCGAGGGCTACCCAGGCAGC